TGCTGAAGATGTTCAAAGAATTTCCTTTAACAGCAAAGTATAAGAATTTACATGTCTTATCAAAACTAGCTGGAGATGAAACAGATATTAAAAAAATCCTTTTCTTCTTACAAATGAAATTGCTTCTCTATCCATGAAAAATACTTTCCGGCATTAATATTACCTTATTCTCCCTATCTTACCGTCGTCTGATCTCCCATTATTTCATCTTCACTATCACTTTTTCCATACTGCTCATTCATGTAAATTCTTTTTCATAACTTTTGTGGGAAATGTCTGTCTTTGGTTAGTTTGCTAGTATAATCTCACCAAGTCTTTGGACGGATTACTGATATAATTTGGCGATGTGTTTTTGTTGCAGAGATATATGGATTTCCATCTGATAGGGTCAATAGTCATTATACCTGGAAAATTACAATTATATCTTATAATTTTTTTTAATTCTAATTTTTCTTAAATTTTGGACCAAGAAAATAGGTCTTATAATTTTTGTTATTTGCTCATAATAGTCATATTTCTTTAGAACACACATACCTTCTTCATCGAATTATTGCAACTTATAATGTTGGGAAAGGGTAATTTAAAATTCAGAGGGGTTTTTTGTTACTTACATTCAGGTCCTGAATTCAGTTTTAAAACTAACCAATCATTTCTTCATTCTTTTCTTCATAACTTTTAATCTCGTATTCTCGGGTTGTATTAAATGATTGTTGACATAAGCTATTCACTAAAACAAAATTCTACAATTATCGCTATTAGAATATTAGAATTGGTGTTGCACTTGCTCGTTTGTCAAATGTCGGCAAATGAGCAAAATCAATGAAACGATTGATTTGAAATGATGTGAATGATCTTGCCAGTTTTTCAAACGAATATACCATAAGGCGATGCCGCAGTGCGCTTTACTTCTGCATTGACCATTCACGGTACACTTTATTCTTTTTTTCAAACACAGAACTGATTACCTGAAATAATACTGCTACAAGTTGAAAACATCTTTTGAACCTTTGGTCAGTTACTAGGCAACAGTAATTGTCAATGTCACATCTCCTAACATTTTTAATAAATGTTAAATTAACAGCTAACTTGAATATGCCTATGTATTTTATTTGATATTAATTGAAAGTTGAATTTTGCAGATGGATATGTAACTACAAAAAAAAATTATCTGTTTAAATCTCTTAGTTTTTTTTTTCCAAATCTTACCTCTTTATTGTTAAAGTATTTTAAGTTTTAGTGAGCATTAAATGGAATAGCATTTTCAAACTGGAACAGTCTTTTCGGATTTTTATTGATGTGTAGAAGAAGTTTCTGTATCATATATTACTTTGTTTATATTTGTTTAAATATTGCCTTCATTATTTTTGTTCAGGCTTAAGAATAGTGTCTTCCATGTTCTTCATATGCCAAGGCTTATTGAAATGGCGTTAGTGTTCGCACAGAAATAAAAATTGTTTACTCTACAATCACAAGGAAATTAATTAGTTGTATATGATTATTACTAGTATTAGTATTTTTGGACAATTTTTCGTTTTGGCATTCTTTTATAAATTTTCACTATGAATTTTTTTTTTAAAAATCTAACATTACTTTGTGACTGCATCATTAGCATATAAAAGCTAAAATGCGGATTTGCAAGCGTGAAAAAAAGCACTTTAATACCGATATCTTTGAGCAATAATAATAGTTAATAAAGTATACTACTGCAACGGATATTTGACAGCATCCAATTAATGATTATAGAATTGTGTTAATGATAATGATGAACATCAAAATTTTAAGACGCTAAAAATTAGTTTGTAATAAAGGATTTCTGAGAAAGAAAAATGAAAAATGAAATGCGTTAGAATAGAAAAAGCGAAAATTTACAAACTCGTTCTATCGTTTTATTCATCATTCTATTAATGAATCTCAAAAATTCTATTATGTGTAAATTTTTTTGCATGACACAGTCCACCAAATGTCGTTTTTATATGAAAGTATAGTCAGTGAAGTATTTTGCTGTTAGATGATATTCAGAAAGAAAGTGGAAATAGATAGAATATGTTAAAAACAAAGTAATGGAAGAAATGAGGGATTTCTCTCACCAATACTTCATGTCACCTCTAGTTGTTTTGAAAATTCGCCAACATCATTTAAGACTTTGGTCTTAAAACCTGCGAGTGACTATAACTGAAGCAAAAAAGCAATGACAAGGATAGGAAGCAAAGTCAAGTAGCAGTCTCAGTTCAACATTTGTATCCTTACGTACCGTCCTATCCACATGTTGACGCGTTATTTTGTCACTAGCACTGACTTGAGACACATATGTACGTACGACTTTGTCTTCCAATTCTTTGTATCGCTTACTTCCATCGCTTATAATACTTCTACGCCACTTCCATATCGTACTTTATAACCCTCCACTCTTCCATCAGTTTTCCTCTCATAATTTGGTGACAACTACGAATTCGGTGTCCTCTCAACCAGGGAAAACGAAATTTGCATAACTACAAAAATTTCTTTCAGCAGCTTTTCCCTCTTTTATTTTTCGGCTAATGGATATCTTATCTGTTAGAATGTATGGCTATTATTTTGGATGTCCAATGAGTGCAATTATTCTGTTTTTGTACGCTGATCCATGTATGATATCAACTTGTTTCTATTGCGCATATGATTTTCCATTTAAATCAGCTTCATTACTTCCCAACTTCTTCTAAGTACTCATCCCAGGTTTCCTCATGCTCTGAAAATGGAACTATTATTGGTTATACAAATTATTCTATATTTACACCTGATCTTTTAATGACGGCGTAAATTTCGGCGTTTCAGTTCACAACAAACATTCAGGAATTTAAATTTCACCTGATCCTTGCTGAAACAGGCAACAAAACGTAAATAAGAAAATGAAAGTAAAATGAAGAAATTAAAAATAGATCATATTCTCATAGTTTATCAATTGTTTCTGATTCAATTCGAATTTCGGATTGTAAACTTGAAAAGTAAGAATTTAGAAATTAGTAATTGTCTCTTTCTCACCATTTCTTTTCATACTAGTATCGTCAATATAATCATTTATCATAGAGCCATTATCGTTGAAATCACAATCAGATAATTATCCCAATAATAATAACTGAAGGTTTTCCGTCAACTCTTTACTTTCATTTATAGATAGTTCGATTTTTTGATTCAAATTGATTTTTTGAAGGAGTTAAATTTATGCATTGAAATTTTGAATCTCAGAGCAGGTTTTATTTCTTTGCCGTGAAACCAGATGATATGATTTATCCATTTCTAACGCAATTATCGCTTTTTTCAGCTTTTACCGCTTCCTCACTCATTGTTCGAATATATTGATCCTATTCATAGGATCAGTCACTTCATTAATCTATGATCAGTTTGTCATAAATTATTTAGATTGCTTTTTTTATGAAATAGAAATTGTTCACAAACTTTCACTTTTGTTAATTGTCATGTTATCGACAAATGCTGTCATCACTTTTGTTATCCTTATTCAACCAACCTTAATCATAGTACTTTATAATATCCGCACGAAGAATAGTTGTCATTTGCTTGCAGTTAAAATGGAAGACATCAGATTCATTTCTTTTTTAAATTACTAACAGATAAAAAAAGAAATATCTTTATACTTAACCAACCCTTGGAAACTTTCATTGTTCATAGGAACTGTAAGACTCATCATTTTTCAATTCAGTGTTCTCAGATGTTAATATGCGAATTCCAGAGTAATAATTGTGATACTAATTTCTAAAGTTTCCAAAAAAAATTTTAGAACTAAAGTTGTCATTTGCCTCCAGTCAAAGTTATTTATTCTTACTTATGATTATTTAAAAGAGGGAACGAATACTTTTGTTGCGTATTTTCTTGACGGATTTAAATAAAACAGTACGTGATATTCAAGTTTTTCTTATGTCTAGAATGAAATATCAGAAGGAAATACTGCCTGTATAAACAAAATCTCTGAAGCATTTGTTTTAAAATAAAAGGTGATAGACTGCAGAGTTTGACTGAGGAAAAATAATGGATAGTGGTGTCCATTAGATGGCAATAAATTGGAACATGTTTCTCTCTCTCGAAAACATAATTAAATTAGCCTGCTGAAATGGACAGACAAATTTCTGTGCTAACCACTAGTCTTTAATGTAACAGCATGACTAAATGGGATATAATATGCAAATGTGATGCATAATGTCATGTATATACTTTTGAATGTTGCTTTTTTAACTGAAATAACTAAAGCGTAAGTAGTAATAACTTTATGGTGTTACTCTGTGGTATATATTATAATTATATCTCCTTCTGTTCTTTAATCATTGTCTTTTGTTTGCTAATGCATACATAAAATATGTTATAATTTGAAATGATAAATGTTAGAGGTTGCAAGCGTTGTTATTTGCACACAATAAATGTGACAATTATGAAAGAATCATGTGTGTGACGGTTATAAAAGAATTAACATTTTTATTTTATGTGTACATTAGCAAACAAAAGACAATGATTAAAGAACAGTAGAAGGTATTAAAGAACAGTAGGAGCTCTATGCTATAAATACACATAGCACAGAGCAACAATATAGGTTATTATCACTTATATTTCAGTTGTGATGATTCAAATACCTGTCAGTCTATCACGAAATGATAGTATCAGAGAGATCTTTGTTTGTCTTTGTTATTAAATAAGCAGAATTAAAAAGAGAAATGATTTGTTGCTGTTCAGATCACGCCTTTCCTTTTCTTTATCCCACTTTTTTTCAAGATAGTTTCTCCTCTTTTTATCTTCCACTGAATATTATCATTCCCTTCCACCCTTCTTCCAGTTAAGTAAAAATTGAATCGTTAAATAAAATTCATTGAATGGTATGCGATTGTTAATATTGTCAATTTCCCTTTTTGTCTTAATCTTATTTCTCTTCTTTAATTTAAAAAAAAGTTTTGGAACCAAACCAACAACAGCCTTTATTGATATCATCTAAGAAGTCGCATCATCGTGATTACTGCAACATGGATATGAGTGACAGCAGTAAAGGATTACTGAGCAGTATCCGCAACTATCCGCCAGGAGTATTTTTCATGCTGGGCAATGAATTCTGCGAACGTTTCAGTTTTTATGGCATGCGAGCCGTCTTAATTCTGTATCTTATCACCGAGCACCATTTCACTGAAAGGTATACAATATCATTTATGTTTTATCATTTTATGCCATTTTTAAATATGTAATCAAGAATCAAATTGAATTAAATTTGTTTACCATACTATATATATATAGTTACTTTACAGTAAAGCATCGCTTTTCTACCATTCATTCATTGCATTTGCTTATATCTCACCGTTGCTTGGATCCGTCGCAGCGGATAACTATTTCGGTCGATTTCGCGTGATACTTTGGATGTCTGCTATTTATGTAATTGGTCATGTATTGTTATCAGTCGGTGCTATACCAGAACTGAATCAAAGTTTCCGCTTGATATTCGATTTCGGCGGATTAGCTGTCATTGCTTTTGCTACCGGTGGTATAAAACCTTGTGTTTCTGCATTCGCTGCTGATCAGGTTGAATCTTTTGCGGTAAAAATGAGAAAGTATTGAAAGGATTTTGTAAATTTGTTTTTAAGTGCTATTTTTTTTGCCCTTTCAAATCTTTTTTATAAGTTTTTTTTTTTTTTTTTTTTTTTTTTTTAATTCGATTTATTTAATGTTTTTATCTAATTTTCAAGTATTTAGTTTGAAGAAAAACAAGTGTATGAAAGGAATCAGTTTTTCTCCTTTTTTTATTTTGCTATCAATGCTGGTTCCCTGCTAGCAATTTTATTGACACCGATATTGAGAGGACGAGTGAAATGCTTTGGTTCTGAATATTGTTTTCCACTAGCGTTTGGTAAGTGAAAATAATAAATGTGAATTTGTATTCTTTCGCGAACAGGATGATACGACATAAAGGAAATTAATGAAATATTCCAATTCAGGTGTTCCCGGTGTACTGATGTTGCTGGCCTTCATACTATTTCTAGCCGGTTGGAAATATTATAAAATAGTGCCACCAGCAAAGGGTAACGTCGTTTTCAGTGTCATCTGTTGTATTTGTTACGCAGTTCGAGAAAAATTACGCAACGTTTTGAGGTGCTATATTTAATTCCTTATAAATGAAACATTATTTGAGTCAGTAAGAAGAGAATGCGAATGCTTAATGATTATTATAAGAACTAAGATCTCCTTGAAGACTCTGTCTTAAGAAACTTCATTAAAATTTGAGGGGATAGAAAAAAGGAATTGTAATTGGATATTGAATCCATCATTATCAAATATTGATTGAAAATTTAGAGTGAATCATAGCTTTTTTATCTGATAAAGTCAAAATTAATTCTTGCTGAGTCGATTGAATAACGAAAAATAATGTACTCTGTAGAGGTCAACACAAAGTTGAACACTGGCTCGATTACGCTGCACCCAAGTATAGCAATCAATTTTTGCGTGGCGTTAAAAGTTTAGTAGCTGTTTCAATTTTATTCGGACCAGTTGTACTGTTTTGGGCATTGTTTGACCAGCAAGTGAGTAGTTTGTTAATTAAAACAAATATAACAAAGGACTGACTAAGAAATCACTTCTGTTATTCTCGCATTAATTCATGATAATGGCACTTATTGCATGTTCGTTTTGTGATAATAGGTTTTTCGCAAACAGTAAACTATTTCCTTCAGTTCGCTCATATTTATAGTATTTCAAAATACATCTGTGTCTGCAACTCTCGAAGAAAAAAATCTAAATAATTAGGAAGATTTTTTCTTTTTTTCTCTCCTTATTTGTTATCTGAAAAGAGAGAAATAATGGACGCATCTGTAGATTACAAATGTTTCCGCTACGGATATTAAATTTAGGGGAGAAAGAAAGTTGGATCAGCTTTCCTAATAAAAGAATTTAAAGGGAAAAAATATTAAAAGGAATTTTTTTAAATAAGCTTTTAGTTGGAATTTTCTCCACTACCTAAATTTGAGAAAATTCCTTTTATGAAGTTAAAATACTCAAGTAATATTTTAAAAATATTCCGTCATTTGATAACTAAATCTTTTCAATCTATATCTGTCTGTATAATTCAATAACTTCATAAAAGCAGAAATAACCACCAGTAAAGTAAAACTTAAAGCTGTACTAGTCAATGGATGTGGAAAGTTTGCTTATGGGATGAGAATATTATTTATATTATTTAGATGTGACAGTTTTATCAAGTTTTTTTTTTTTTCATTCAGGGCAGCACATGGGTGCTGCAAGCTCGTCGTATGAATGGTCGTATTGGCTCACTTATGATACTACCAGATCAAATGAATACCCTTAATCCTCTTATTGTTCTTATCACTGTACCCATATTTGAAGCATGGGTTTATCCAATAATTCAAAGGATTTGCAAAGTAACACCTCTTCGGAAAATGGCTGCTGGTGGTTGTCTTGCTGCTTTAGCCTTTGTTTTGGCTGGACTATTGCAAGTAATACTTCTAATAGTAAACATTTTTACTAACATATAGATTTTAAAATGGAAAAATTCTGAAATATGCAATGTAATTGATAATATATTACACTGAAATTTTCTTGACAGTTAGAAGTGAACAAAACGATGGAGTCGCATCCCGAGCATGGTAAAGTGATCCTACAATTAATCGGTAACTCTTCGTATAGCTACGAGATCAACGGAACAGAACTTACTTTTGGCAAAACCGATTTTCCAGAAGGTCTTTATACTGTAACATCGAGTTCGATCGAAAATGCTCAAAGTTTTCAATTGAATTTGTCAAGTGCTGGATCTGGATATGTTCTCGGATTATTTGAATCATCTCGAAATAAGCCAGTCCACTTTCAAATTTTTTTGTTTTTATGGGTCAAACATTATGTGACAATTATCAGTCCTAGGATTATCACTCTTACCCCCTTTGTAATGTTTATCATTTCAGGAACAGTTTTTCCTCTTTCCCCTATAGCTGTGAAAAAACCGAAAACGGTGGGACACGATTGTATCTTATGGTTGCAGATGACTCCATACTAGCAAATGGAAGTTTTTACATTGTCGATGCTCATGGGAACATTCATCAAAAAGCAGTTACCAAATCAGGCATCTTTTTATCCTTACTTTGAATAAGCATGATTCAAATGCAATATAGTAACAAGAATAATCTGCATATTGGTTAAGAAAAAACCTCTGATTATAGATCATTTATTTCATTTCACTTCTTCCGTAACATAGTTTGTCATAAACTAAAACTAACCTGACAAACAAATTTGAGGCTCTGAATAAAATAGGAGCCTTTGCTGTGCTGTCGGTTCAAATCAATCAAGGTGCTTTAGTTTATTAGCGTTTATACTTAATTTATAAGCATAATTATCGTTTATCTCAGTTCATTATTCTCAGGTCAACATTTGGATATCCGTCCGGCACTAATCAGTTCACCGGAATATGTGTTAAAAATTGGCCCTGGTAATTGCTCGGTTACTGATTGTCCATACAATTATACTCTTTACGCAGAAGCTGGTGGTGCTCATGTAGTGTACATCACCGATAATGCCATTGATATCTACACTGTTGTCAGACCAAACACGGTCAATATCCTTTGGCAACTACCGCAATTTTTTGTCATAACCGTTGGTGAAGTGTTATTTTCGGTAACTGGCTTGGAATTCTCATACTCACAAGCAGCACCAAATATGAAATCTGTATTACAGGTAAAATTTGTTACAGGTGGAACAATGATCCTTCACCTTTTATAGTGAAATTTGAATAACTGATATTATATTTTCAAATATTTCTTTGCAAAAGATAGGAGTATTGAATTTAATCCCAAGTTAACAGTGAAAAAAAGGAACAGGTAGTAGACAGATTCGTTTGTTTGATTTATAGGCCATTTGGTTGATGACAGTATTCTTGGGAAATGTGATAGATATGCTAATTTCTGGATCCCATATTGTTGCCGAACCGGCAACCGAATTTTTCGTCTATGCTTTTATGACGGTTATTGTAATTGGAGTATTCATCGGACTTGCAATTAGATATGACTACAATAACTATAAGGAAGATAAAGATGCACAGATGGAATACATCGAAAAGCCGTTATCTCAGGACACTATAATGAAAAGTGGCATACTTTCCGGCAACATTCCGTCATAATACCAGATGTTAAAATAGTGTCCATAATTTAATTAAAATTTTTTATCTTACTATCTTAGTGTGCAACGGGATGTGATTAGTATGACTTAATGTATCATCTCTAGATTCTTCTTTTGGAAGAAAGGAAAAGGGTTTTTGAAATATTTTATGAATTGGTGTTGAAATGGTATTGTATCTGTTGTAACATAATAATAAAGTGTAACCCGTGCAAGAATGAACAACAAATTAGTGTTAATATTTTTAATTTCCGATTTTGTCATTTTCCAGCAGTCCTCACAATTGTTTGGGAAGCATGAATGAAGTAAATGAAGGGCTCTCCGAAGTCATTTCATTCTGGCTCTAAACTTAGCACTTCGGGAGCTCAGGCTAAAATCAGACAGTGATTTAAGTAGATGGCAATATGCTCTATAACTGAATAGGATAAAAATGAAAAAGTTATACATTGAAACTGTTAGTATTAGTGTACTTTTTGAAAATACTTCCATCCCAATTTGGACAGAGAAGTGACATCCTTTTAATATGTGAGGCAAAAGCTCTCTTCATGACTTCTGATCTAACTCCGAAATCTTAAAATATTCTAATACTCGAACAGTCTATAAGATCAATACCTCGTACTTCGTTCTCCATCTTTTCAGAAGTTTTTGAATTTTTTAGACTTGCTCCATGTTGGCTTTTTTCAGATTTTTAAATAAGTCTCAGCAAGAATTTTCCAATTTTGGAATTTTTCCATGAGACATTTCTTAACATATCTATTTCGCCTCAAATTAAAAAAAAAGAGCAGATTGAATTAGACTACAATGATTCTATAACCTGTATGAAAGTCGAGAGAAGGCTTTTGGTTTGTGATTTACTAACTATTAAATTGAGAAAACAGAAACTTCTTTTGGTCGCTATTGAAGGTAATGGCGAAATGAAAACAAAATAAGTGGACAAAAATTATTTCCATTCCACACTATCGTTTTCTTCATCCAATCATTATTCATAACCCAATAAACTTTAAAAATGAAAACACCATGAGATTAAACGCATTCCTCACAGAATATATGATATTTTTCGTCGTAATCCTCATGCACATCTCTAAATAACGTCTAATAGCATTGTATTGATGGCAGTAAATAATGTACACAGATAAATCGTTGATGAATATAAAACAAAGAAATTAATCAAAATCAGATTAGTTTAACAAAGGGATGTTGGACTTAATGACAAAATGAATTTATATGTGTACAAACTTTTCTGACTTCTAAATTTCACATGATTTGCACGTACATACCCTATAAAACTAAAACTTAATTTTATGTTACCCATTTGTTTTGCATTCGTTATGGAACTTCAAAATGATGTCTTTAGAAAACTTCATTTACAATCATAAATTGAAGCGATTGGAATGACTACATGACGTCTTGTGAAAAAGTCGCATCGGCATCATAACCTTTAAATTTCTTGTTGGTTTTAAAATGCTAAGATCAGTTCAATAGAGAATAGAAAGGAATTCTTAAGTATTTAATATCTTTCTCAGTAAAAACTGAGAAAGCAACGATAATTGTAAACCGAAATTATAAAAGCATGTAAAGAAGGCATTCAGATGGAAATTCAGAGTATAGAAATAAATAATAATGCAAAAAAATTTCTTCGCCAATTTTCGCACTAATAGGGGTTAATACAAAAAACAGTGCAATGCGTACCTAATCTGAAAATGATAGTACAAGGCTAACTGCATCGGGAATGAAATAGAAGTTCAAATACTCAAAAAAAAAAATTAGATAAAGAGACTCTCTTCATACGCCAATTTAAAAGGAAGTTTCTGAAACAAATTTTGGTAAGTACCTATACTCACTTTAAGAAACAATGATTGGCAGCAATCAGTAAGTATTCGTGATATTATTTAAAAAGAAAATATGGAACTGAGTAATTGTAAGAATAAATTAAGAAAAAAAAGACATGAATAGAAACCCAAATGATTGGAGTGCAAAAAGACATTCTACTGAATGTAAGTGAAAGAAATTAAATAAAGAATGATTAATTTATCTTGCATTATAATCCTATGAAGTCACAAGTGATATCAAATCGAATTGAACAAGTAATTTATCTGAGTTGATCTTCATTTTGACATTTCATTTTCTTTAGAAACTTTGATAGGAACTGTCCATCAGAAGTTGTAGCTCGGAGTTGAAGGACAGTTGTTAAACTATCGTACTGTTTTTTTAAAGTTGCAGATTCTATTTCCACCTTCACTGGTGTTATGAAGATAAGGAACTGAAATATTTATAATATGAAAGTATCGGAAGCTAACTGACTGTTAATTGGAAAATTAATATTTTCAAATGTTAGTAAAGAAATAAAAAAAAACATTTCTTTGAGTAAAAGTTGAGATAATAATATAAACATGTATCTAATATGCGAGTTCATTATTGCTCTTACCTGTGCCTCTGACAACTGATTATGGCGTCCAAGCCATCGATTTTTTAAAAACAATGTCCCAAGGGTTAAATATTTGAAAATGATTAGTAGAAGAAGTATAATTAATATGGAAAGTACGATTTTGATAAGACTTGATAACGATATAAATTCTGAAGCCAATATATCGGCATTTTCTGCAACAGTTAAGTTTATTCAGAAAGTGGATGAGAGCGTATCAGTGGATACGTATAATCAAATGTATGAAAAGGTAATAAAGAGTATCTTGTCATTAACTGGAATAGATTATTGTATTTTGAGGGAATTAAGAAAACAACTATTCAAATATAGGTATCTAACTTCAAGATTTCAAAAACAGATTCTTTTCGAAATAGAGTGAAATATAGATTAAAGAAATAAACATTTCACTAAAGTGAATCCAATCAACCAGCCTGTAATTTTATTGGAAAAATTCGTAAAGGCAATTTCAAATCGGCCTCCAAGATCGTCAGCTGTTTCAGTAATCGACTTGAAAAATTTGGAACCAACGGATTCAATCATTCGGATGGCATTGCTGTCTAATGCACTGAAATTCCATACTTAAATTAATGCTTATGTAAATCGATGTTACTGTGTTATCAAATCATTATAGAACTTATTGCTTGGCAGAAAGGTAATTGAACCCATGCTTTTTTGAAGACAACAAAAACATTTAATTGAAAATGTCATAACGAGCTAATAATTGTTAAGAAGATTAATTTCAGTTTCCGAAAATAATGCTATTTTATATTAATTTTATTTCCAAGAAATAGTGATAAATTAAACAAAAATGAAAGATTTTTGCGTTCAAAGCCACTCCATTATGACAATATTGGTAATATTAGATTAGAAGGAATCCTAAGTAATTATAAGTAACTAACTTATTCACTATTGTTATTAAGCAGTAGTCAACAATTTTCGAAAAACTAGAAAAACTTGGTTAGAAGAAAGACGTAATAATACAAGCATGATAACCGGATTCAGTCGAAGCATACTCTTATTCTAGTATATGGAGACATATTCTGGCTAGTTGGTATTCATTTCTGGGCAACTAAATTGTTGGCAACTTTCTTCTTCTCAAGTTTAACTGATCATCGAACAAATGCAGCTATTATCAAAACGTCGAATGACATATCAATTTGCTTGACGATTCCGTTCAATAAAAGAGTAAGAAGAGGTGGAAAAATTACTATCGTGAGGTTTGTAGCAATGCCGATGAGGTTCTTAACTGCCTAAATTATTCAGACATGTACTGATTACCACAAGTTAACTTTCTTCAGCCAGTAAGCAAGTCAACAAAAAGGTTATCTGACTGAATAGAATCACAGTGTCATTCTAGTTTAAGCGCAATATAGGTACATTTCACAAAACCAAGAGAATAAAATTCAAGAAATATCTAAAGAGGACAGAAATGACTTTCACGTTCAACTTTATGATATCAATGAGTCTTCTGTTCCAAATGCATACAGCTTTATGATCAAAAAGAAAAAAAAAAAAAAGGATTTGAACTCATTTGTGAACCAGTCCGTATTTGGACACCTACTCTGCATTCAGTAAACATTCTTTCTTACTAGAATTGCTGAGTTTAAAAAAAAAGGAAAAGTGGATTTCAAGGCGTGAATCCAATTTCAAAGTAGAAGATAAATTAGATTTGAAAACTGAACTTGTTTAGTTCAGTTTTTTCTTAAATCACTTCCTTCAAGAAGCATCTCATCGTCCATTCCGTACTCCTCTTCAATCAGCTATAGAATTAACCCGTGATAAAGGAATACCGATGGATGATAATCTTGTCTTCCTTTACCATTTAACAATAAAAGTTTGCACCATGTTATTCAGTTCAATGAATATTAAGCAAGTAGAATAATTACAAGAAATCTCTTTTCTATCTCTCAACTGAATAAGTTAACGTACAGTCTTTAATTTTTGAAAACCATTTTGTAAATTTATTAAGAAGTTGCACTATTGGAATTGAAAAATTTTCGAAAATTCTTGAGGTTATTCAATTATTATTTATAATGCTATCATGCACAACCTGAATTCATCTTTTGTAGAAAGTACAAATGATGCCGTTAACCTGAATAATGCAAATCGTCAAGTCTTGGAATTCAAACATTCTTTTGAATAACAGTACAAATAATAAAACCCGAAAACATAGAACGTTTGAGAACGGTTCAAGGTATATAATATACTTTCTTTTTTATTTGTTTCTCAAAAGAGACATAATTTGTTGATGGATTTTTAACTCACTATCAGTGTCATTTGATTAACTTCCTTCTCATGAAGACAGAAAGTCGAATAAGTGAATAATGATTAGCTGCTACCCAAAAACTGAATTCAAGAAAAGATGGACAAAATATGAGTAATTCAAAAACAGAAAGGTGGAAATAAAGGTAGTGCAGAATTACACATCACATCAATAACCGTTTTTTCCCGAATCATATGAGAATGGTAGAAATTATTTAGATATGAATGGAGTGGAAAACCTGTTTCTGTGCGCTCATAAGTACTCATCTGCTCATCCCTGATAACCTCAGTTCCACTAATCATCAGACCTCTTTTGTCGAAATGATTTTTCGTATGCATTAGCTTTTTATTTCTCTCACTGAGTTTACTGCTCTTTCTTTTTAATTTGTTTTTTGCTAATATCAAGGTGAACTACAGGCTTGTAGATGAACTTTTCATTATCAGTGGCAATTGATTAACTTCCTCCTTCTAGGACAATTCGTAATCCTCAATCGTAATCCACGGGGTTCTATAGACAACAACGAATCCAACGACAACGACCAGCCACTCCCACGATACGGAGACCACTTGTTTGGCACACAAAATTCTACGTCCAAAAAGGTTTTCAGGCTAGGACGCGACAGTTGCATAGTGTATAGTCCAATTATCGGAGAGAGAAAGAGAGGAAGAGTAAGTGACAATATCTGTACCTGTGCAGCTGTGTCGATGGGACAAAAGGATTTGTGAGTTTTTGGTGGGATATTATGTTATATTGTTGATAAGGTGGGAAACGGGTCCTTTGAGAATGCACGAATCACGTAAGTTTCGTTTGACTTATTTATTCATACTTCTAGTTAGTTGCTGGATGGCAAGAGAAGAGGAAGACGAAGTAATACCATCGTCTAGTGATGCCATTATTGCATCATTGATTAACGAAGTACGCAAAACGAATGAGGTGACTGATTTTTCCGAATTTATTCAAGTACCAAAAAAACTCATTTATTATAACAGAATCCATGAAGAAGTCATTACAAAAGGAGAGAATTTTCAGCCCTTCGATATGAAAAGTCTAATTGGTGGGAAACTCGAAGTTACAACAAAAAGGTAAGTCTAATTTGCGTCGAACGAGTGTGAGTAGTTATATTTGTATAAACGCGTTTGTTATGTATGATCAATACTCTGAAGTTTTTTAATTGTCGTTTAAAAGTATCTTTGATGAACTTGAGGTAACAAATTATTTCTTTGCAACTCAGCCTGGAATTCATTCTAGAGTGTCAAAAGTTCTTTGTTTGGTTGATTGTTGTAAATTGCATAAATTATTTTTTCCTAAAGAGAGTTATTATGTGTTTTAAGCATGCAAAAACATCTAACTTATCATTCAGCAACATGTCAGTGACTGCTTATTAATGTGAATTTAATTTTTGCTATAGTTTAATCATAATGTGTGTTGAACACTGCTCCATTTCAGAGAAGCAAGAAGTGATGAAACTCTTTCATCATTACACGGATACTGCAAGAAGTTAAAACGTCACAGGGACAAAAAATCTAAAAAGAGCAAGAAGTCGAAGTATAAATTACGATCCAAGTCAAAGTCACCATCACGCAAAAGGAAAAAGTACATTGTAATGAGATAGAATATTGATGAGGAAAAGCTTTACCTTTCATCATTCTTTTACCTTTAAAATCATTTCAGACATCGAAGCCACAGTCACTCTACAAGTCTAGAGAGTAAAACTTATCATGGAAATACTGAAAAATTTGTCACTTATACTATACCACCATCCGTTGAAGCTGTTATGGAAAAGGTTTTTCAGTCATAATTTATGAAACTTAAGGATCACCATACATGTTGATAGTTGTTCGCTGAAGAATACTGTGGTTTAAGCTGTTAAATTTGATATAATATTTTTAGACAATGAAAAAATTTTTTTTTTTTTTTGATAATGAAAATGTTTTTTTTGAAGTTCCTATAGCAATTTATATTTGAAAAAATCGATAAAAGTTGAAACTGATATAGCTCAACCTTGTTGGCGATAAGAAAAAAGTGTGATGGTTTCAGATCTCAGATGATGAGGATGATCTTCCTGTTGGTGCAGACTTCCTCAGTGTTAATGCTAGTAGTTCAAAAATGGATGGAAAAAGTACATTATTTCAAGTTATTCCTAATGTTGCACAAAATAAAACAAAAGAATTTAGTAAGTCTTTTTACTTCTTTTTGTCACCTTATGACTTGTTCTCGAAAGGATAACTATATTGTCTTCGTCATACAGATGTTAATGAAGAAGTATTTCCTTTGGCTAAGAAGAAAAAGAAGTCAGAAAGTCCACCTGTATTGAAGAAACCCCGCCCATTATCGGAAATTCTAGCGAAGGTACGAGCTGAAAGAGACAGCACATTTGTACCACGTAATATCAAATTGAAGCAAGAAAACGGAAAAAGGTAATTGAGTCGAGTATTTCTTGCATATTTTTTTTTTCAAAAAAGATCGAACTTTCTCGGGATGAAACCATATATCTTATCATGCTTAAACATTCGTATCAATGTTTGGTACTTTTTGTAGTTGCTATTCATTGGCTTATTATATATTATATACATGATTGAATTTTGAAATATTATATGTTTTGCATTGCAGTGTTAGTGAGTCAACTACAGATGTGGTCAGTCATATAATTCCAAGTAATTTTTGCTTTCGATTGTATAGAATTTTCTGTGAGTCCTTAGAAAGCTTGATGTGATCTGTCATATTTTCATAATATTGATAATACTAGGAAGGTACCATTACTATTAATATTTTTATGGGTTTGCAGAGAACGATGGTGCTAGACATGATGACGTTGAGTATGGACCAAGGCCAGTGGAAGCTCTTCGAACACAGCCAATCTCTGAAGACGAGGATGAATTGCAGTTATCTCCTCTTAAAGTAAAGCAAACTGAAGCTTCAAAATTGATTAAAATCGCCACTATAAGCAAGGTAACTGTAGCACTCTGCGTTTCTTGGTGAATATTTATTGAGTCTTGGGTTATCTGAAATTCTTTAAAGGATGCGCATCAGTTTGCAATTAAAATTTTTGAGTGAAATATTTGCATATTCAAAAATCGATTTGTATCTCTTATGAACACTTTATTCGGTTGTAGTTGTAGGTGTAATATTAATTTAGAACTATGTTATATCAATATTTAATCTTCAAGTTATTTATAAACTGCAACATTTATGAAAATTATTTTTAGGTACTATTTGGTGATGAGAAAAGAGGTCAAATGGGAAAAGATGGAGAGATCGCAGTAAGTGATACAAGTGC